AAAAAAATCTCCATTCACGTCCGGAATCGAAGTCTTTCGGACAACCCTCACGCCTCCCATAAACATGCTCGACACGAAAGCTAGGGCATCCACGTCCATGGGCCCTAGACTTAAGACCAGGATATTCAGCCTCAAGATAAAAAAGAGAGCAACCAGCCAATTCCAATCATCAATAAAATTACAGCCTAAAAAGTACCAAACGGCACGAGAAATATAGCGAGATTAATTACAAAGAAATAGTTCCCGTGATTCGAGCCTAAAATAATGATTAATATAATTTTTATTGCATACAATAATATATATCAATATATATATCAAAAATCGATTTTTATATTTTCAATTTTTAATTCAAAACCCAAAATTGTCCATAAAATAAATCATTTCAATATCAAACCCAATCCATATTTAATAGTATCAAATTATTTAAATCCTATATATATAAAATTATAGTAATATAATATAATTTCCTTTTATATTATAGCATCGCAAAAAAAATCGTAATATATATAAATTAAATATATAAATATATCATAATATAATATAAATACAATCTAATAATATATATCTATAGAAAAACAATATTATTATAATCCATATCATAAATTTTAATCTATAATAAATCGAAAAAATAGTTTTAAAAAATTTTTTTCATTTAAAAAATTCACATTCGAAAAAAATATACTACCGATCAATAACTTAGAATTTATATGGACCGATAACATAATTATTATGGTCCACTACTTCTAAATCATTAAAACCGCAAAAAATTAAAAATTGCTAATCAAACCTCATAACTTAAGAATTATCGCCAACTAATAACCAAATATTATCGTATTTTTTAGAAAAGAAAAGAATTAATGCACACAAATAACAAATAATATAAGAATCCTAATATTTACAAATCCTATTTCACATCATTTAATTTACCTTTTCCGGCAATTTTCTGTCTTTTTTTAAAGCTATTCTTTTATAACCATATTTTAATATATTTCTTTATTTTAAATTCCACAATATAAGAATTGTGTATATTGCTCAAAAATGCTTTCAAATCCATAATAAAAGAATTGTCCAGCGCTAAACACTTTCGATATAACATCCAATATATTTAAAAAAAAAATCATTTTCAAAACATTACGATCTCCATACGAACATACGACCTTAACGATCATATTTTACAATATACAAAAATCTTACGCCGAACGCAAAATAATGGTTACCCAAAATCACGACTTTCGGATTTCAAATCCCAGATTTCGTATTTCCAATTTCCAATATTATTAAATCGGATCTCGAAACCACAATCTCAGCTCGCGAATTCGATTCTCGCATCTCCAATCTCGGATCGCGAATCTCGGCTCTCGCCTTTCGAATCTGAGACCTCGGACCTCAAATCCCGAGTCTCGGATTTCGCATCCCGAAGCTCTCCGATCTCGAAACCCGAATCTCGCATCTCGAATCTCGGATCTCGCATCTCCAATCTCGAAACTCGCATCTCGAATCTCAGATCTCGGATCACGAACCTCGGATCTCGCGTCTCGAATCTCGGATCTCGGATCTCGAATCTCGGATCTCGCATCTTGAATCTCGGATCTCGGATCTCAAATCCCGAAGCTCGGACCTCGAATCTCCAATCTCGCACCTCCAATCTCGGAACTCGGATCTCGACTCCGAAGGCTCGGATCTCGGATCTCGCGTCTCGAATAACATGCAAATTTTATTATTGGATCATCTTGGCTTTTCGGGCTTTAGCCCAAGCATCAAACGTGTCGAGGCCATATGGACTGCTTCACAGCCGTTCTTACCAGAACTCTTCCAGCATGAATACAATCACTCCTGGCCTTCCCTGTCCTGGCGATCGCCCCAGCCAGGTCGCCAGGTGGTGGACAATGGACAGAAAATGTTAGTCTCTTGGACAGAGGCAACTCAGTGCAAGTTAGTACGTGACGTCACAAGAAGGCTACAACCACAGGCACACTTGGGCAAACATGTGAATAGACTTAAAATATGAGCAAAATTGGAATCTGACCTGAGGTGAGACCTGAGGTGAAACAGCTCCTGGCATCACCAAAGCTCAAAACTGGATACCAAATTTGGTTTTAAAAACAATAATCGGGCGAACCACAACTTGTCGATTAAACTGTTTTTAATTGTGGATTGGACATTAGATACGAGTACCTGAAAGGACATTGGATATCAAGAAATGATTGTGTATGGTTGTAACTGCTTGGTAGAACCTGTTGTGGGTTCACCTGCATATGAATCTCTGCAGTGTTGCGCCATTCCTCAAAGCCACAAGCTACATACTCGTGTTTCCAATAAGAACACAGCAGTGGGGAGAGCAAAACGAAAATTCCAAAATAATCCAAAATTTTGGAAATGGGCAACTGGGCAAAATAATCTACTTTTTTGGAAGTCGCAAATTTGAAACTTCCAAAATTATCAAACTATTTCGAGTCTTTTCCGCTAAAGCTAAAACCGATAACCAAATATAACGCCGCCAAAAGGAAAAATGTCTTCGCTGAAAATCCTAAATTATTGGCAAATTTTTCGGGTTTTTGGAATTGCGCGCGCGCCCCTGTTGGTACGCCTTATCGTAGTATTATGAATTATTGGCAGGCCTTCTCGTAGTATATATGTATGTATATGTAGATCTGTCAATGTACATATATATATAATCTATCAATATCCACGTTAAATTCTTTCCGAAATTAAATCCTAAGGCCTATTTTAAGTCATTTCTTCTACTACCACAACAACAACTACTACAACTACTACTACTACTACCACCACTACCGCTACCACTACCCCTCCCCCTACCACTACCACCACCACCACCACCACCACTACCACCACCACTACCACCACCACTACCACCACCACCCAACTACCACTACCACTCCAATATGACTCCCACTACCACTTCCTGCTGCTATTACCCCCACATACCTAAATAACGAACGAACGAACAAACGAACCTTCTGAACCAATCTAATCGAATCTAAACTAAACTAACCAAACAAACTACTCAACTAACTATTTAACTAACCAGCTAACTAAGAAACTAAACTAAATTAACCTAAACTAAAACTACTCCTACTACTACTACTACTACGACTACTACCTACTACTACTACTACTACCACTACTACTACTACTACTACTACTACTACTACTACTACTACTACTACTACTAC